ACTTGCATACGTAGTATTTTTCGAGAGAAGCGTGAAGCAGCGCACTTGCAATATCAAAACTTTCAGCGTACAAAGGGCCGACTAGTATAGGCAAGACATAACCTCCAGCTACTTCTCTCGAACCTCCATATCCCACAACTCTTTCCTGCAAAATGTATTCAGAAAACTGAAAATCCGGCACTCTTAATAATCTAAGACTAATAATGACAAAATCCCTACAATGAACCGTTACTTACAATATTAGCATTATTTGAATAATTACTATGTATTATTGTCATTACTACTGAACGCTCTACCATTGTTACCAGAAGTATTTGGGCTGCCTTTTAACTGAAAGATTAGTACCTCATCAAGTGCGATATGCAAGTCGAAGTCGTCCTGCCCGAGCCAAATTTTCAGCCAGGAATCTCGACTTAAATGTGTCACGTTTTCGTCATATTCCAGCAACGCTTTGTGCTGTACTTCCGAAAGATCACTATATTTTACTATTGTAGATTTGTTTGCAACCTAAAAATTTCTTATTAATTGACCTATTTCAACAAAAACTCAATTGTATCGCAGTTAAAATATTGCTTGCAAAATGTGAATTTTAAAAAAATGAAACTTTTATGGAATTATAACTTACTTTTAAGTCGGGAAACGATGAAGGATTACTGACCACGTACGTGACGAATTTCCATTCTTGGGATGATAAAAAAGTGAAACCAAAACGAGCACATTTTTTACTTAAATGAGACACTAAAAAATTTAAATTTAATAAAAATGAATATTTTCCAATTATCACAGAACGGCAAGGTTTGTACGGATGTTCAAAGATTTGCATATTTGACTCTTTTGGATTAAAGTGATAGCTAAAATTTAGTAATTCGAGTTTTGTTGCATAAAACGGCTTCTACTTTGAATGAATCAGTTGTTCAGAAGGATGACATCTGTATCAGTGCCGCCATTACAAGTATCACTCAACGTTCAAAATATTTGCATAAAAATTTCAAAGTTATGTGCCAGTTCTTCTGCAGATTATTCAAATAAAAATCTCAAGATATTACTTAATGAAGCAAAGTAATCTACTTGCATTGATGGCACTACAATGCTCAGCTATGACATGCATGAACAACTGATTGTCCTCTAATGGATATTGTTAATATCTTTTAAAGTTACCTAAAATGTGGTGGATTGCATGCTTATTTTGAGTTGGGATATAGCTTGAGTGGTACGGTCAAATGTATTTGAATGAAAAGTTCGTGCTAAAACTGACATTATTCCCGGTAAAAATATGCTCAAATTTGGTAGCTATTTACTTGAGTAACTTTCTGACAAAATATGAATAATAATTACTCGAGTGGAATATGACTGTTTGTCCATTCTCGACCAATTGCAATGCTTCTCGAAAAAGTTTGCTTCCGATTCCCGAATGTCTGTATTCTTCGGTCACATAATACACACCAATTATAGCATATTTGCTAGAAAACGTAATGCTTATACTGCCGATGATCTGATCGCCTAGAAATATACTAATTTAATTTAAGTTAATTTTATTTTATTTTATTTTATATGACATCATTTTTCAGAAGTTTTATTTGAAAACTTTTTCATCAGAACAGTAAAGTTGTTGACATTTCAAAACTGGTCCAGTAAATTGTTTGTCAAATACTTTTTCAACAGTCATGATTTCATTCAACTTAGCAAACGCAATAAAATAAAATACTTTTCGCGTTTTTTACACAACTCAATAATATTAAGTATTGAGGCGCGCTTTCAAAGATTGCACAGCAAAGTTATCTCATTCGTATTACTGATGTAATTAAAGTAAAATGCAGAATAATGATATTCACTTGCATTTCTGTTCAATTCAGTAACTGAAACTAGCGTACTTTGTTACAAAATTGCAAACTTGAAAAAGGTATTTAGCTTAATTTGTTGGCAGAGAGATTATGTGCTTAGCTGCGACAAACTCAGCCGAGAAAATTAAAGTGTTTTGAGTTGTGTTTGCGTTTGTGTTTG